GGCCTTTTTGTGACCCCGATGGTCCTGAGACCACACTGTCCCAGTGAGGATTCCACCCCCAGCTTAGCCACTGGAGCGATGTCCCTCAGCGGAGCAGACTTCTAAAAGTTCTGATTTTGTGCTCTGTGGCTCTATCACTTGCCAGAAGAGGCCGACAGAGGCCCCCTCCACTGCCATCTATCCTCCCAAATATCGCCTCAGGTTCACTTCTCTGCATGTCCTACCTTCCAGAAAGTGGTCACTTTTCTGTTCAGAGTTGCTTCTATTCTTTTCTTTGATCTCCTGTTGAGTTTACAGGTGTTCAGAATGATTTGATACCTATCTAGCTGATTTCCTGAGACCAGATGAAATGTAGGTCTCTTACTCTTCTGCCATCTTTCTCCTCCCCCTAATTAGGTTCTTTGTAAGAAATTTAGAACATCAATTTGTGAGGGTAAACTCCATTTGTGAGAGAAAACATAGAGCAGAGGTAGCCCTGAAGCTGTGAAACTCTTTGATTTTTGGCAGAATTTGCAAGTCCATAGCTTTCTGATCAACCTTGCTCTGCTCTGTAATCTTGTATTTCTCTTTCTTGGTGTCAAAGATCTCACCTTCCTGGTGTCTGGGCTTATGCCGCTTCTTCTTGAAGTAAGCATCAGTGAGATGTATGGGGATTTTCACACTGCTCATAACAATTTTGGTAGAAGTGGCAATGACGAATTTCTGGTGTGTTCTACACAGAGGAACTTGATTGAGGGACGTCAGTCTGGTCACAAGTAGCAAGCCACTGCTCAGTTGCTTCAGGAAAACTACCCTCTTGCCTCTGTGGCACCCAGTGAGGATGATCAAAATGGTCCCAGGAGTGATGTTAGCTCACAGTTTTCTCACATGCTGACTCAAAGGTTTTTTGCCATGGCTTAACAGGTTTCCAGGCACATCTTCAGTAGGATAATACCTAGGCATTTTGTGAAGCTCAACCACTCAGGTACCACCATTCTTGTCACCACCAACTGGTTTTTTGAGAGTAGCAAAAACCTTCTTCTTTCTCTTTTCAACCCTGGATTTAGCTGCCAAATACTTCCTCTTGTACATGGCCTTTCTGGAATACATAGCCAATGGGGAATATCTGCCAATTCCTCTAACTAGGACAGGGTTTCAGCTGCAGTGGGGCTTCCCCTTCTTTGGCATTTTAGCCTTGGGGTTACCCTTCTTAGTCTTGCCACCAGCATCAGCCTTCTTGGCTTCCAGTTTCTTCTTCTTAGTATCCGGCTTCTCAGTTTTTTCACCCACCATCTTGCAAGATGGGAAAGAGCTCTAAGAATTAAATTAACCAAGAAGATGAAAGACTTGTACAATGAAAACTACAAAACATTGCTGAAGGAAATTAAAGACATACAAATAAATTGACACACATCCCATATTCATGGTTTGGAAAAGTTAATATTGTTAAAATGTCAATACTACCCAAAGTGATTTACAGATTCAGTGCAATCCCTATCAAAGTCCCAATGATTTTTTTTTGCAGAAATAGAAAAATCCATCCTAAAATTCATATGGAATCCAAGAAACTCCCAAATAGCCAAAATGAGCTTGAAAAAGAGCAAAGTTGGAGGTCTCACACTTACTGTTTTCAAAACTTACTACAAAACTAGAGCAATCAAAAAAGTATGGTATTATCAGAAAGAGACATATATAACAATGGAACAGAATAGAGAGCCCAGAAATAACCCCTCACACAAATGGTCAAATGATTTTTGACAAGGGTGCCTAGCCCATTTAATGAGGAAAGGACAGTCTTTTCAACAGTAGGTGCTAGGAAAACTGGATACCCATATAATGAAGAATGAACTTGGACCATTACCTAACACCATATATGAAAATTAACTCAGGATGGATTAAGGACCTAAATGCAAGACTGGAAAGGATAAAACTCCTAGAAGAATATGAAGGACAAAGCTTCATGATATTAGATTTGGCAATGATTTCTTGGATAGGATACTAAACTGTGTAAGGAGCTGAGATGCCCTTCAACAGATGAATGGATAAAGAAGATGCGGTGCATATATACAATGGAATATTACTCAGCCATCAGAAAGGATGAATACCCACCATTTGCATCGACGTGGATGGAACTGGAGGGGATTATGCTAAGTGAAATAAGTCAAGCAGAGAAAGACAATTATCATATGGTTTCACTTATTTGTGGAACATAAGGAATAGCATGGAAGACATTAGGAGAAGGAAAGGAAATCAGAGGAGACGAACCGTGAGAGACTATGAACTATGGGAAACAATCTGAGGGTTTCAGAGGGGAGGGGGGTGGGGGAATGGGTTAGCCCAGTGATGGGTATTAAGGAGGGCACGTATTGCATGGAGCATTGTGTATTATATGTAAACAATGAATCATGGAACACTACATCAAAAACTAATGATGTACTGTATGGCGACTAACATAACATAATAATAAAAAAAGGATACTAAAGGCACAGGTAACAAAAGAAAGAGCAAAATTAGGGACACCTGGGTGGCTCGGTTGGGCAACCAATTCTTGGTTTCGGTTTGGGTCTTGATCTTGGCCTCAAGGGATCAAGCCTCCTGTTGGGCTCTGCACTTGGCTTGGAGTCTGCCTGAGATTCTACACCCCTCTGTCGCCCCCCACCCCTGCTCACACTCACTCTTTCTAAAATAAATAAATAAATAAATAAAATTTTAAAAAGAGAGAGGGAGAAATTGGACTTAATGAAAATTTAAATATCTTGTGTATCAAAAGACCTATATATGAGTAAAAAAGCAGCTCACAGAATGGCAGAAAAATATTTGCAAGACCTATATATGAGTAAAAAAGCAGCTCACAGAATGGCAGAAAAATATTTGCAAATCATATATCTGATAAGGAATTAGTATTCAGAATATAACAACAAAAACCAACCTAATTCAAAAATTGGCAAAGGACTTGAATAGACATTTCTCCAAACATCTACAAATGGCCAATGAGCACATGAAAAAGTATGCAACATCACTAATCATTAGAGAAATGCAAACCAAAACTATGATGAGATATCACCTCATACATATTAGAAAGGTTTCTATCAAAAAACCAGAAAACAACAGTTGGCAAGGATGTGGACAAATCGGAATCTGTATGCACTTTTGGTAGGAATGTAGAATGGTATAGTCACTGTGGAAGCTGGTCATTCCTCAAAAAATTAAAAATAGAATTATATGATCCAGCAATTTTACTTATGGGAATATATCCAAAATAATTGAAAGCAGGGTTTCAAAGAAATATTTGTGCACTGATGTTCATAGAAGCATTAATTCACAAAAGGTAAAATGTGGAAGGAATCTACATGTCTGTCAACAGAATGGATAGGTAAACCGTGGCATGTATATACAATTGAATATTATTCAGCCTTAAGAAAGAAAGTCTGACATACATATGCTACAACATGAATGAATTGTGAGTTCAATATACTAACTGAAATAAGCCAGTCACAAAAACACAAATGCTGTATGAGGTACATAATCAAATACATAGGGACAGAAAGGATCCTGGTGGTTGCCGGGGTCGGGGGGAGAATGGGAATTATTGTTTAATCGATATAGAGTTCAATTTTAGAAGATGAAAAGAGTTATGGAAATGGGTGATGGTGATGATTACACCAAAAATGTGAATGTGTTTAATACCATTGAGTAGGATGGTAAATTTAATATGCATGTTACCACAATAAAAAAAAGACATTAAAAAAAGAGCATTTTATAATTACTTTTTGAAAACAAAGATCACAGAGTTTGATAACATACCACATAGGCATGTATGTTATCAAATTGTATTATCTTTGCCAAAAATACTGAAGATGAACCCAAGTTTACAGGAAACAAGAACTGAGAAACAAACACCATGGCGGGGTCGGGGAGAGACACATCCAGAAAATGAGACAGTCTAGAAAACAACTGGGTCTGATGTCTTCAACAAATCAGTGTCATAGAAAAAAATGTATGTGGGAGAAAAGCCTGTTCTAAGTGAAAAGAAATGTAAGAAATATGAGAACCAGATGTTCTCATCCAAAGAGAGCACATGTTGGTCATTGGATCCTAGTTTGAACAAACAAGCTACAAAATAAATTTTGGGATAATTAAGAAATATTAAATGTAGACTAGGCATTAGATGAATTAAGGAATTACACTTAATTTTATTATTATACACTTGCTAGATTGATAAAGTTATTGTGATTATATAGGAAAATGGCATATTTTGAATTTGTATACTTTAGTATTTAGGGGTAAAATGTCATAATGTCTGTAATTTACTTGAAAGTATTTCAGCAAACAAAAATAGATGAAGCAAATATGACAGCATGTTAACTATTGTTAAATCCAGGTGATGGCTATATAGATATTCACTCAGTATACCAATCTCTCTACTTTTTTGTGTATTTCAAATTGTTCATAACAAATTTTAAGCACATACACTGAGTAATGCTGCAGTGAGAAACCTGGTACATACCTTGCATGCTCTGTAAATCACTCTAAGGTCTACTAAATCCTAGGCAAAATGGGAAAGATCAAGAACATTATTTTAATGTTATATTACCTCCCTCCAGTTCTTTAATTATTTTAATGCAGATTATGACTTTCTAGTCATTCCTGAAATTGATTGAAGAGGATCATGACCAGTGATTTCTTATACATGAAATAGAATACAAAATGCTTAAGGGTTTTCAGTTAGTAAGTATGAACATTATGTGGAACTTTGTTTTAATCATATACATCAGTTACTTTTATACATATGTGTGTACATGATTATGATGTAAAGTCTATTTTTTACTATAACATGTATGCAAAAATTTAATAGGTCACTGAGGTGGTTCAGTATTTTCCACCAGAAGTCACTAATAATGGTGACTTCTCAAGTTTCAAGTTAATTTCTCTTAAATTTCTTTGACAATGCTTTGTTTGCTGCACCATGGTTATCTGATGGATGACCCAAACATACTCTTATTTTGTTTTGATTTTTCTAGTAACTATGACTGAAGTTTTACCAAAGGAAAAGAAACAGAAAGATGAGAAGACTTCAATTCTTGGTCAAGCTGTGGTGGACCTTCTTCCTTTACTGGAAGGTCAGATGTGTGCTTTGCTCAAAAGCAGATATAGGAAAGCTCATAAAATTTAGCTCCAGAGAAGTGCAAAAATCAACCTCAGTGAATTTGAGGGATTTGATAAAAAGATGAGCACATTTATCTCTGCCTAACCCTTCCTTCTATGGTTTGATTTGCTTTCTTTTTGCAGGAGAGAGTTCATTTGAAACGATGGTCCCCTTGCACCCTGTGCCAGGCTCGCCTTTAGAACCTGTTCGGTCAGGTGTAAAGGTAATCAGAGTTCTAAAGCTCCACTTTCAGCCTGCCGTTCAGTCTACCAGATCTGATTGTTATAAAGATTTGATTAAGTTGAGTCCAGTTCATCAGGTGTATTCTTTTCACAAGCACACAGAATGCTAAGTTCTGGGAAACAAAGATAAATAAATCTGAGTCCTACTTTAGGAGTCCATAATCTACACGTCATGGGTCATAATCAGTGTGATTAAATAATGGAGTGGGGCATGTGGGCACAGTGTAGTTATTGATTACTTTGCCCAGGGGTACACATAGAGAAAGCTTAACCAAGGAAATGTCCTGATGGATTAAATTGAATAACACGTGAATGCACCGACCACACTTTCTGGCATATTAGGCCTGAATTGGTAGGCTGTGCTAGTCTGGTTTGTCTTCTGGGCTGTGTTTTCCATTCTTCCTGGGTATCAGTATCTTCTTGGGTCTTTACTTTTGCCACTCTGGTGCAAGTGTACTCACTTTCAGCAGTTACCACAGCTTTCTTCTGTTTTGCAAAAGTGAAAGAGAGAGAAGGGCCCAAATGACCCAACTATTCCGAATGCAGTTCCCTAATTAACCACTGCTGTGGGTCCCTTCCTGCTTCTTGTTGATTTTGACCTTGGAGCTGCCATAGTCTACTCCTGTATCTGCTGTGGTCCTCTCTCTGTCTTATTTTAGGCTGTGGTTGTTTTCTTCTAGGTTGTTTGGTTTTTTGTTTTAAGATCTGATTTAATTTGCTTTCTCTCTTTCTAGGATTCCTATAATTATCTAGTCCACTGATAGCATTTCTTATTTTCCAGGGATGTTATAGCATTATTCTTTTATTGGAGGTAAAGGTATAATTTAGTATCTTTCTGTAATTCCATGTGACTTGTGCTAGAAAGAGGTATATATCTGAGCTCAGTCTGCCTTCATTGGTCCAGTCTCCCTGCTTATATACTTATATGTACTTATGTTGATTTTCCTTACATATCTTTAGAAGAAAAATTAGTCAAATGGATTATTAGTCCTTAGGATGTTTGTTCATAGTATTTCTGTGTTTACTTGTTTTACACATGCAATGAAAAGAATATATCACACTTAATTTCCATTCACTTGAGAATTCTCACTAATTTTATATTTAAGCATCTACACTGGTTATTCTCAAGACTCAAAGAGTAAAATGACATAAACCTGTCCTTAGAAAAGAGTTTCCAATTCATCTTCAAGTATTTCCTGTTTTGATTGAGTGATACAAATTAGATAACTTCGGGACATTTTACTTATCTTTCCAGAGACGTACTGATCAGAGGTGTCACATTCTTTAATGCCTCTCTTTCTTAAAATCTTCTTCCCTTTGGTGTTCTCACTTCCAGCTCACTGACTGTACCTTCTCAGGTTCCTGCACCAGACCTCTTTCTTCTGCCCATGTCTTATGTGTGAAGGTTCTAACCTTGGCCACCTTTTCTTCTTAGTCTGTGTTCATATTCCTGGGTTGCAGGGGGGAGATTATTCATTATTTAACAGTCACCAGTATGAGGGCTTCTTTGGACCCTAAATACAACCAATCCCAAATCTGCCTTTCAGCAAATCCAGCCTTTTATATCTCCTAAATGCCTTTGGACTCTTCTCTTCTTAGCTTTATTCCTACTCTTTATTGCCTTATAACCTCTCATTGGAACATTACAAGTAGCCTTATAACTGCCCTTACCTCCCTCCAGTTCCACCTTCTCACTCTTGTCGGGTGACTTACAAGTAAATAGGATCACATCACATCCCCTGTTCAGTACTATGTAGTTCATGGATTCCCCTACTGCTTACTTGTTAAGGTCCAGATTCCTTAGCAGGCATGCAACAGCTTTTATAATAGGAACCTGCCACTTGTTCAATATAATCTCCCAGACTCCCCTTCTTATGCTTTATATTCTAAAATCCTGAACTACTTACACCGGAACAAAATACACCATGCTGTTTCAATCCTCTTTTACATAAACTCTTCTTTTAGTTCAGAATTTTCTTTCCTTTCTCTGCTTATCTAAATTGCAAACTTTTATTAATTCACTTTGTAGAAGTCAATGTAGGCATCACCATCTCTCCTCCTCACCCCAATAATTAATTATTCACTTCCTCTTTGGTGCTCCTTGACTAGGGCATTTTATACAGGTCTCTATTATAGGATTTATCATAAATCATGGAATTACAATATGAATCCCATAATAAAAGGGGCCATGTCTCCTTTATCATTATATTCCTAGTGCTGCGGTAAAGTGTCTGGCATATAATTAGCAACCAATACACATTTTATTTTATTTATTTTTTATATGGAATGCTTCATGAATTTGTGTGTCATCCTTGTGTGGGAGACATGCTAATCTTTGTATTTTTCTAACCAATATAAATTTTAAAGCTTCTTTCTATTGTATCCTGTGTGAAAATGTTAGATACATACATATATATCTCTATCTATACCTATATCTGTATATATATGGGTGTATACATATATATTTGAAAAAATATTTTCTTGGGGTGCCTGAGTGGCTCAGTCTGTTAAGCGTCTGCCTTTGGCTCAGGTCATGATTGTAGGGTCCCGGGATGGAGACCCACATGGGGCTCCCTGCTCAGCGGAAAGCCTGCTTCTCTCCCTCTGCTGCTCCCCCTGCTTGTGTGCTTGCTCCCTCTCTCTGTCAAATAAATAAATAAAATCTTTAAAAAAAAGAAAAAAATATTTTCTAATGAAAAAGCACATTTCCCACCCTCCATGCCTGTCAGCCCATGGACTTGTCAATGTGCTGATGGGCCAACTTCAGGGCCACATGGGGGCCAGTCTGTGATGTACTTTAAGGGGTTTCAGGAAGGGGCCTCCCCTGCCTGCACTTAACCCCATGGTTTGAGGGTCCTGGGAGCTGACATTTGTATCGCATTTGTGAAGCTCAGGTGTCTCAAGTCTGGGCCGTGCCAGGCAAGGAGAAAAATTAAAGAGGGTTTTTCCAGAAAAAAAAATAAATAAAAATAAAAGCACATTTGCCAAATCAGAATTTCTTTTTTTTTCCCCCAAGGTCATTACAAAGTTCTTTTTTTAAAAAAATATTTTTATTTTTTTAAAAGATTTTATTTATTCATGTGAGACACAGAGATACAGAGAGAACATGAGCAGGGGGAGAGGCAGAGGGAGAGAGAGAAGAGGTTCCCCACTGAGCCAGGAACCTGATATGGGGCTTGATCCCAGGACCCTGGGATCATGACTTGAGCTGAAGGCAGACACCTAACCATCTGAGCCACCTAGGTGCCCCTTTTTTGTTTTTTGAAATTACATTTCAACTTTACTTTTTAAGATTTACCTAGTAGAGTGATGTTCTACATTTTGTTAATACAAATAACATATCCACATATGATATGTACATCTCATGAACTAGCAGGCTATCTGAACACCATTTACAACATTGTTTCTGAGAATTTCTATTGGAGACATAACTTGGAAATTTCTCATTGTAGAATATGTAATTCTTTTTTTCCTTAAGGATTATTTTAGAGAGAGATAGAGCATGCATGTGTGCAAGCAGGGGGAGGAGGAGAGGGAGAGGGAGAGAGAGAATCTCAAGCAGACTTCCCACTGAGTGTGGAGCCCAAAGTGGGGCTTGATCTCAGGACACTGAGATCATGATCTGAGCAGAAACCCAGAGTCAGACACTCAACTGACTGAGCCACCCAGGCGCCCCAGTAGAATGTGTAATTCTTTAACAATAATATTAATTATTCTTATTAATGTTGATTTCTAAGAAAATAAAAATGAACAAATTATTTTTCTCCTCTCTAATTAAAATATGAGCTGTCTTGATAGCCCTACTTGGGTACATCACTAACATCAAATCCTTGGTAGCTCTTCTAAAAAACTCATTTTTCAAGCTTGTTCATGCTGTCAAGAAATACTTTCGCATCTGTGAAAAATGGAAATATATTAAAGAATATGATTTTCAAATATTTAGTAAAAAAAACCTTAAAATTTTATTTATTTATTTATTTATTTTAGATTTTACTTAAATTCAAGTTGTTAACATATAGTGTATTATAGTTTCAGGGGTAGAATTTAATGATTCATCAGTTGCATATAATACCCAGTGTTCATTACATCAAGTGCCCTCCTTAATGCCCATCACCCGTTACCCCATCCCCCCACCCACCTCCCCTCCAACAACCCTCAGTTTGTTCCCTATACTTAAGAGTATGTTATGGTTTGCCTCCCTCTCTGTTTTTATCTTATTTTATTTTTCCTTCCCTTCCCCATGTTCGACTGTGTTGTTTTTTAAATTCCACATGTGAGTGAAATCATTTGGTATTTGTCTTTCTCTGACTTATTTCACTTAGCATAATACACTAGCTCCATCCATGTCATTGCAAATGACAAGATTTCATTCTTTTTGGTGGCCAAGTAATATTCCGTTTTATATATATATATATATACACACACACACACACACACACACACACATACACACATACACACACCACATCTTCTTTATCCATTCATCAGTTGATGGACATCTGGGCTCTTTCCATATTTTGGCTATTGTGGACATTGCTGCTATAAACATTGGGGTGCAGGTACCCCCCTGGAATCACTATGTATCCTTTGGATAAATACCTAGGCGTGCAATTGCTGGGTCATAGGGTAGCTCTATTTTCAACTTTTTGAGGAACCTCCATACTGTTTTCCAGAGTGGCTGTACCAGTTTGCATTCCTACCAACAGTGCAATGGGGTCCCCCTTTCTCTGCATCCTCACTAACATCGGTTGTTTCCTGAGTTGTTAATGTTAGCCATTCTGACTAGTGTGAGGTGTTATCTATCTCATTGTGGTTTTGATTTGTATTTCCCTGATACCAAGTGATGTTGAACATTTTTTCATGTGTCTTTTAGCCATTTGTATGTCTTCTTTGGAGAAATATCTGTTCGTGTATTCTGCACATTTCTTGATTGGATTATTTGTTCTTTGGGTGTTGAGATTGATAAATTCTTTATAGATTTTGGATACTAGCCCTTTATCTGATATGTCATTTGCAAATGTCTTCTCCATTCTTTTAGTTTTGTTGATTATTTCCTTTGCTGTGCAAAAGCTTTTTATCTTGATGAAGTCCCAATAGTTCATTTTTGCTTTTGTTTCTCTTGCTTCTGGAGACATGTCTAGTAAGAAGTTGCTGTGACCAAGGTCAAAGAGGTTGCTGCCTGTGTTCTCCTCTAGGATTTTGATGGATGCCTGTCTCACATTTAGATTTTTCATCCATTTGAATTTATTTTTTTGTATGGTGTAAGAAAGTGGTCCAGTTTCGTTCTTCTGCATGTGGCTGTCTAATTTTCCCAATGCCATTTGTTGAAGAGACTGTCTTTTTTCCATTGTATATTCTTTCCTGTCATATAGCTGAGGGTCCATTTCTGGGTTCTCTATTCTGTTCCATTGATCTCTGTGTCTGTTTTTGTGCCAGTGCCATACTGTCTTGATGATTACAGCTTTATAATACAGCTTTGATGTCCAGAACTCTGATGTGTCCAGCTTTGGTTTTCCTTTTCAACATTACTTTGGCTATTTGGGGTCTTTTCTGGTTCCGTACAAATTTTAGGATTGTTTTTTCCAACTCTGTGAATAATGCTGGTGTTATTTTGATAGGGATTGCATTGAATGTATAGATTGCTTTGGGTAGTATAGACATTTTAACAATATTTGTTCTTCCAATCCATGAGCATGGAATGTTTTTCCATTTCTTTGTGCCTTCCTCAATTTCTTTCAAAAGCACTCTGTAGTTTTCAGATTACAGATCTTTTACCTCTTTGATTAGGTTTATTCCTAGGTATCTTATAGTTTTTGGTGCAATTGTAAATGGGATTGATTCTTTGATTTCTCTTTCTGCTGCTTCATTATTGGTGTATAGAAATGCAATAGGCTTCTGTGTACTGATTTTATATCCTGTGAGTTTACTGAATTCCTGTATCAATTCTAGCAATTTTTTGGTGGAGTCTAATTTTAAAAAAGTACTACATTTAAAATACAAAGATAGTCACAGAATATAAACTGGCAAAAAAAGCAACCCAATGTCACTCATGTGAAACTACTATTAACATTTCAGTATAGGACCTTCCAATTCCTCTTCTATATGTGTTTGTATACATATGTGACCTCAGTATGGTAGAGGGGAAAGGCCTCTAGCTTAGGAATAAGATTCTCATCTCAGCTATAGTTCTAACTCATGAGCCTTAGAGAAAGTTATTTGAATCCTCTATATGGAAATAGTTAAATTTGACCTTCTTACCTTGAACAGTGATATGAGATTCAAATAAGATAATGAAAAAAAAGGGGGAGGTGGGAAGGCCTCTCGCATTTTCAAAATGCTGCATAATTTTATTCTTTTCCAGCAGTGCAGTCTTGAAGTTAAAGTATTTGTGGCAGAACCCTTATTGACCACAGCACAAATCTTAGGAGGCAATCTACTGAAAGTCACATTGGAGGCTGCCTACTCTGTGCCTGAATCTTTCATTCCAGTAGGGCCTATGCAGAACTACATGGTTGGTATGCAAGTTCCATCAGTTGGAGAGGTAAAGCCCTACAGCCAGATATTTATATAGATCTAAACACTCATATGGTCATCTCTTCCTCACCTGCTAAGATTTCATTCAAAGCAAGCTCTCTATTAATGGCTGAGATTTTTTTTTAGGTTTAAAAAAAATAAAGTTTACTTCTGTTTTATATGTAGATATCTATAGTTTACATATACATAATAGTATATATTACATATAATTTATGTCAATAAATACATATTTATGGTGGAAAATATGTAAAACATTTTAAAATTGACTATTTTTAATGTGTTTCTATATATTTTATGTGTATATTTTGTGGATTTGTACAGTGTGCTTAATTATATAAAACTTTCTCTTAATTTCAGTTATTTTCTTAGCCCAATTTTTTTTTTAAGATTTATTTATTTATTTTGAGGCGGGGAGAGAGAGTGCAGGTGCATAGGGCAGAAGGGCGGAGGGGCAGAGGGAAATGGGAGAGGGAATTTCAAGCAGCGTCCCTGCTGACTGCAGAGCCTGACGCACACCGCTGGATCCCATGACCCTGAGATCATGACCTGAGCCAAAATCAAGAGTCAGGTGCTCAACTGAGCCACCAAGGCGCCCCTCTTAGTCAACATTTCTATGGAATGATTGTGTTGGATTTTTTGAGGCTCTTGATAGAGATTTCCAAATTGCTTGCTAAAAAGGTATAATTAGTTAATACTGCCATCTGTTTTATTGCCATCTACATTTCAGTAGGAACCTTCCAATTCCTCTTCATCATTTACATTCCCACCAGCAGTATAAAGGGTTCCAATTTCTCCATATCCTCATCCATATTTATTATTTTTTTGTTTTGTAATAATACCCATTCTAATAGGTGTGAAGTGGCATTTTCTTGTGTTTTAGAGTTGTATTTCCCTAATGACTGATGACGTTGAACATCTTTTCCATGCTTATATTGCCATTTGTGTATATATATATATATATTTTTTTTTTTAAGATTTTATTTATTTGACAGAGAGAGACACAGCAAGAGAGGGAACACAAGCAGGGGGAGTGGGAGAGGGAGAAGCAGGCTTTCTGCGGAGCAGGGACCCCGATGTGGGGCTCAATCCCAGAACCCTGGGATCATGACCTGAGCCAAAGGCAGACGCTTAACGACTGAGCCACCCAGGTGTCCCCATTTGTATATTTTCTTTTAGGGAAATGTTTATTCAAGTTCTTTGCCCATTTTTGAATCAGGTTGTTTTTTGTTGTTGAGTTTTAAGAGTACTTTATAGATTCTAGCTATTAATCCCTTATCAGATATGTGATTTGCAAATATTTTCTCCCATTTTTTACTTTGTTGTTAGTATATTTTGCTGCACAAAATTTTTTAATTTTAATGAAGTCCAATTTATCTATTTCTTTCTTTTGTGTCTGTGTCCTTGGTGTCATAACCAAGAAATCATTGCTTAATTCAATGCCATGAAGTTTTCCCCCTGAGTTTTCTTCTAAGAGTTTTGTAATATTAGTTCTTATGTTTAGGCCTTTGATTCATTTTGAGTTAATTTTTGTATGTGGTTTAAGGTAAGGGTACAGCTTGATTTTTTTGCATGTGGATAATTAGTTGTCTGCATCATTTATTGAAAAGATTGTCCAGGGTGCCTGGGTGGCTCAGTTGGTTAAGTGTCTGCCTTCGGCTCAGGTCATGATCCCAGCATCCTGGGATTGAGCCCCACATTGGGCTCCTTGCTCAGTGGGGAGCCTGCTTCTCCCTCTTCCTCTGCCCGCCACTCCACCTGCTTGTGCTTTCTCTCTCTTTCTTTCTCTGTCAAATCAATAAATAAAATCTTAAAAAAAAGAAAGAAAGAAAAGACTGTCCTTTCTCCATTGAGTGGTCTTGGCATCCTTTATTTTGACAATTTTTGCCACTATTCTTGTTTTTATGGAGGAGCAGCTTTTCAGCGGTCTTTACTCTGCCATTCCAGAAATGCCTCTCCTTCACAAAAGTTTTTTAGCTAACCCAAACAACTAGAATTGTTGAATTATAGGGTATGACAATTTTAAATTTACTGGAGACTGCAAAATGGCTTTCCATAGTTATACCAATTTATATTTCCATCAACTATGTATAAGAATACCATTCCCTTCACAATATTGCTAATGCTTGTTATTTTCGGACAGATTTTGCCAGTCTGTGGTTTAAAAATATATCTCATTGTTTTAATGTTCATTGCAATTATTAAGGATATCCAACACGTTGTTATTTAAATGGTGGATTATCTAATTTCCCTTTCTATAATTTGCCTATTTATATCTTTTCAATTTTCTATTGCAAGTATATTTTAGATAAATTATAAGTAGGAAAGTGCCTATATTGTTAGCCCTTTGCAGATTTAAGTTTGTTTTTAAAAAGGTAATTTTTAAAAAGGTATATCATAACTCTCATATAGATATAAAATAACAAAAAGGATTTAAACCAAAAAGGGTTCAAAGGAGAATCTGAAGAAATAACCCATATATAAGCAATCAGGAATGTTGAAATGAATTTGCCAATAATTCTAAACTCATCATCAGCCACATGGCAATAATCAGTTATATCTCCACTGAACAAAATATATTTGCATATCTATGGACAAGAATATTTTGCATTATTATCAATTAAAAATTATAAAATAGCACAAAGACAATGAAGGGCACAGGCTCCTCTGTAGAATCAGATAATCACAGAAAGAAAGGTCTGTTAGACAACACCCAACATTACATTGAAGATACTTCAGTAATCTTTTTTGTTCATTTTGAAGTCTTTTACAAAATTTCCTGATGTATGATATTCTGTAGAAAGACTATCCCATTTTGTTCAAGAATGGAACTCTAAAGCTTGGAGGGGAAAGAGAACCGGTTCCCAGGCCCAAAAAATGGCCAATTGCCAACATAATGGCTCCAGGAGCTAATAACATTCCTGATGCTTTCATCATTGGTGGGCCCTATGAGGAAGAAGAAGGAGAACTCAACCACCCCGAGGTGAGAGAATTATGAAGTTTTTTGGTGATAAACTAAATGCATAGACAGATGCTAAAACACTTTTTAAATGTTTTTATATTTATACTATATATTTATTAACATAATGTAATTAATATTAATGTATTATATATAATATATAAAATATATTTCTATATATTTGTTACTTGTTAAAATAAAATAATTATCTAATTCTGATGAAAATGTCTCCTGACTTCTTAAGTTCAACAAACAAAATAATTTATTAAATTCAAATTTACTCTTTATTTAAATTTATTTATTTATTCATTTTTAAAATATTTTATTTATTTGATAGAGAGAGAGGGAGGGAGAGCACGAGCGGGGCGGGGGGAGGAGCAGAGGGAGAGGGAGAACCAGACTCCCCACTGAGCAGGGAGCCCTACTCTGGGCTGGATCCCAGGACACTGGGATCATGACCAAAGGCAGACGCTTAACCAGCTGAGCCACCCGGGTGCCACAGATTTATCTATTTTTGAGTAGGTAATAATATGGTCATAGGTCATGCATATAAAAGCAAATATATATACTCAAAGGAAAAAAGGAAGACTCACAAACAAAAATATTTGGAAGAGTGAAGTTTCCTTGCAAAGAATGCAAAGGAGTAAGATTTCAGAAGGACTGACTCAGAGACATTAGCATAGCAAAAGTCAGGGATAAAACTGTTTTCCTTTAGGAAGGTTAGATTTATAGGAAGTATTCAAAAATCCTGTTATTTTCAGACTAGAACCCATAGGAAGACACTATTTTTTTTATCTCAGTGTGTAAAGTGTTTATTGTTTATTTTATTTTTAAATGATTATTTTTAACTGAGTAAATAAAGTGCTTAATCATATTGAAAGCAGGGGAAAATGTCAGTTTTGCTTTATATACACACATATATACATACATGTATTCTTTCCCTATTGGTTGTTTGTTTGTGTTTTTACTGAAAGGGTGGCATACTCACTGTTTTACAACTTGCTTTTTAGTGTACTTTGGTGATTTTTCCGCACTGCTACCTAGAGAACGTTCTTACTCTTTTTCTTTCTCTGCACTTGCTGTATGACATGACACTGCATATGGACACACTTAAATCACTTGACCAGTCTCCTGCTGGTGGACGTTCAGGTTGTTGGAATTGTCCTTTCCTTTTTATTCCTCTCTTCCTCCTTCCTTTTCTCTTTCCTCCTTCCTTCCTTCCCTCATTCTTCATTTCTTCTCTCGTTCTTTCTTTCTACATCCTATACTTGTCAAGAGCAGAGAAAATGCTGCAAGCACACTTGCAAATGTTTCTTGAATGAGTTAATAATTATTAGCGGAAACATTCAAAAAAATAGTTTCTAGAATGAAAGTGGTTGGATTATGTTAAGTATCTGACGAAATAGTTGAAATAAGTCAGGCAATATTTGGAAGAGATTGTGCGGTGTCTTCTCTCATCATTGTGATTAGTGAAAATGCATCCTGTTCTTTGATTTATATTTTTGTTTAGATCAGGTATTTTATTTTACATATTTGGATTTTATATTACATTTTGTTTTTTTTTTCCTGTTTCAAGTTTTCATTTAAATTCTAGTTAGTTAACATACAGTGTAATATTAGTTTCAGGAGTAGAATTTAGTTTAGTTTCATCACTTACATACAACACCCCGTGCTCATCACAAGAGTCCTCCTTAATACCCATCACCCATCTAGCCCATCCCCTGCCCTCCTCCCCTCCAGCAACCCTCAGTTTGTTCTCTGTAGTTAAGAGTCCCTTATATTTTACTCCCCTCTCTTTTTTTTCTTTTCCCATATGTTCATCTGTTTTATTTCTTAAATTCCACATTTGAGTGAAGTCATATGGTATTTGCTTTTTCTGACCTATTTCACTTAGCATAATACACTGTAACTCCATCCAAATCATTGCATATGGCAAGATTTCATTCTTTTTGATGGCTGAATAGTAATTCATTATATATATTTTTTAGTTTAGGTCATTGTTCTCAAGCCTGGTTGCTCATTTGAATCACCTGGAAAGCTTTTAAAACAATAACAATGGCCAAGCCCTAACTGAGATCAATTACATAAGAATTTACTTTCAAAGTATCACTGTCCAGGTAGTGATTTTTTTTTTAAATGAAATACATTTCTTTGCTCATGCAGAAAGATAAGCATTCCAAATTTTGATGATTTGTTTTCCCTCTGGTGACCCAGCAGACATTTTTGAAGAAACTAGCCCATTTAACGTGTCCATTTAAGGTTGAGGTGATGTTTTAACAAGTTGAGAAACTGGTTTTTGACAGAATCTGGTGCTAAGGAAAGAGCATTTTGAAAGCAGGTCTCTGGAATGTTTCATCCTTACCTAATTTTGTGGCTGAAAACAGTATGCGTCATTACAATATTTCTCACATGTACATACCCAAAAACCTCATTTAAAAATAAAATCTAACTTGCTTTAAAAATCATTCAAAGAATGTTGTTGTTTTTGAGCTTATTTTGTTAAAAAAAATCAAAGCACCAGGTAGTGATTTTTTTAAAAGCTCCCAGATAGGGACACCTGAGTGGCTCAATCAGTTAAGCATCTGCCTTCAGCTCAGGTCATGATCCCAGGATCCTGGGATTGTGTCCCGCATCAGGCTCCCTGCTCAGTGGAAAGCCTGCTTCTCCCTCTGCCTGCCTCTCCCCCTGCTTGTGCTTGCTCTCTCTCTCTCTCTCTGACAAATAAGTAAATAAAATCTTTAAAACTAAATAAAGTAAATAAAAGCTCAGATAATTCTAATATGCATCCAGGGTTGAGAACCAGATGATTGAGGTTATATGAGTGAATATTTGGAACTTAGTACTGGATTGATGTAAGAATAAAAATAATTTATATTATGTATTTTATTAATAGTGAAGCACCCTAAAATTTAAGCTGTGGTAGTAGTTACAGTAGTAGTCATAGTAATAGTAGTAGTAAAAGTGTTGTGATCAAATCCATTAAAAGAATGCCCCACAGAATGAGCAGGATGAAGCAACAGTACATTGAGAAAACAGAAGTTTCTTATTATTTTACAGGACAGGGAATTTAGGAACCAAGCAGAGTGCATAAAGAAAAGGATTATTTGGGACTTGGAAAGTCGCTGCTACCTTGATCCTCCTGCAGTGGTCAGGTAGGAAGAGGAAGGGACTATGTCTAACCACCAAAGACTATAGGTGGGAAGAAATACTACTTTTGTTAACTTTATCTATATTTGAGTTAAGGTGATCTGAGAATCTCTTTCACCATATTTGCTAATAACAGAGTCTTTTAGTGATGGTGGCTTAACCAAGGTAGATTCTGATTTCTTTTCATATAAAACAAGTCCAGAGAGGCTATGTATGGTAGCTCCAGTGTTATCAGGTATCCAGGCTCCATCTTTCTTTTTGCTCTACCTTTTTTAACATGTGCCTTCTATCCACAAGTTTGTCTCATGGTTCAAGATGGCTGTTGGAACTCCATCCTGCACGTTCACATTCCTCACAGAAAGTTGTAAGAGAGGGCAGTGTTTATGGATAAAAAAGGACACATGCTGGCTGTCTTAGCCCCCCTTATAAAGCCTTCCTAGAATCTGCAACCTCAGTTTATATCTCAATAGCCATCTCTAGATGCACAAGAAGCTGGGAATTATATTTTTGTTAGACACATTGTTACTCAGACTAAATCAGGAGTTAGATGCTAAAGAAGAACAGGGCACTTGGTATTGTTTGGGTAACTACCAGTCTCTGTTACCTGGGGGTTAGGAAGAGGACGCAAAACAGAGGATTATCAATATATGTATACTATATTGTATAACACATTAATATATGTATAATTTGAATTGTTGCATGATTCATTATTTGCGTATAACACCCAGTGCTCATTGCAATTCGTGCCCTCCTTAATACCCACCACCAGGCTAGACTATTTTTAAGAACAATGTTAGAATTACAGAAAAATTGAGCAGATATTTCAGAAAATTCCCATGTACTTCTGGTTCTCCACATGACCGTGGTGTATAATATAAATACACATTCTTGGCTTTGACTTGCTGATATTTCGTTAAGGATACATTATTGCTATTATTACTTTGAACAGTTATCTATTTGATCAGTTAAAAATAAGAAAAACTTCATCTCTTTCTTTACATTTCCATCTCCCTATTACATTATCTGCAGGTTGTCTGCTTTTTCCATTAGAGTTCTTAACATATTAATCATAGTTATTTTAAATTCCCTATATGATCATTTCAAAATGTGTCATATCTGAGTCTAGTTCTTATGTTGTGTCTCTTTTGTATTTTTTTCTTGCCTTTTACTATTCCTTGTAATTTTTTTTGAAAGTTGGACATTATGTATTGGGTAATAAGAAGTGAGGTAATTAGGGTTTTTAGTGTGAAGTTTTCTGTTAATCTGGCTAGGAGCTGGGCTGTGTTTAATGTTTGCTATATATGTAGGTGCTAGAGGCTTCAGTTTCCTCTTTTGCTCTTCCCCTGTTGTGTTTGGGTTTGCCTAAGAACTTTTCTTAGGTAGGGTCTATGTTTTGCAGTCTCTCTGTTATAATCCACGTTACTGTACTGGAACCCTGTTGTTATGGTGGGAAGGTGTTGGGAAGGGGAAGTGTTTTATAATCCTTCGGTTAAATCTCAGTATTTTAATGGATTGACTCCCTGGGCTGTGACCTTCAGAAGTGTTTAACAACATTTTTTACTTATTATGTGAGACAGGAAGGCTAGACAGAGCTGGAGTAGTCTAATTGCCCTTCCCCTGGGTCAGATAAGGCTCTGGTAAAGTAGTTTCCCTTAAAGAGTAGGCTTTTTTTTAGTACTTTTTCTTTTAAGATTTTTTTTATTCATTTGAGACACAGAGATACAGAGAGAGAGAGAGAGAGCATGAGCAGGGGGAGGGACAGAGGGAGAGGGAGAGGGAGAAGCTCCTGCTGAGCCAGGAGCCCAATGGGGGGCTCGATCCCAGGACCCTGGGATCATGACCCGAGCTCAAGGCAGACACTTAACATCTGAGCCACCCAGGTGCCCCAAGAGTAGGCTTTTGTTATGGATAACACTGCAGGCATGTTTCAAAATGGTTACTTTTCCCTTCTTTCTGCCTAAGAGGATTTTTCTCATATCTTCACCATGAATATTGGATGGGGCCCCTTGCTTTAAAACCAAAAAACTGTGGGGCTCTCGTAAGACTGGGCTTCCAGGAGTCTATAACTTCGGCTAATCCAGCCTCCAGCAATTGGTCAAAATTACCATTAAAGTGTTTCCACCAGTTACTAGCTCTGTTACTTTTTCCTACCTGTAAGCTGATCTCAGCCGTGATTCTCTATACTTGCGTGTATCTCCAAATTTCAGGGTGGTGATTGGCCCCACGAACTTAATTCTTAGATGGATCTAAGAAAGGTCATTGATTTTTCAGTTTGACCAGGTTTTTGTTGTTGTTGTTGTTGTTCTAAGATCAGGAGCAACAACTTCTAAACACGTTACATGTCAGAGCTGACACTGTAAGTCCTACTTTATTTCCACAGGAGAAATAAATATATTTTATACTATTTGCATACTTGTGTGATTATTTCTTTAGAATAAATCACTAGAAGTGGAATTTCTGGGTCAAAGATTATGACAATTTTAAGGCTTTTGCTTCATATTGCCAAAAAAAAATAAAGTATAGTTTGCCTCTGCTAGCAGTATAGTAGAATTCTTTTGGAATTTATAAATTTGGAAAGGTTTAAAAAACCCACCTACCTAATAAAAATATTTATATATGTGTGCCTATTCCGTTACTTTTTAAAGGAGTTATTCATTTTGAGAGAGAGGGAGAGAAAGAGAGTGTGGGGGTGGGGGGGTAGGGGCAGAGGGAGCGGCAGAAGAGAGAGTCTCCCAAGCAGGATCCACACTGAGCCCTGAGCCCCATGCGGGGCTCGTTCGTGCAGGGATCCATCCCAGAAGCCCAAGATCAGGACCTGAGCCAAAACCGAGAGTTGGTTGCCTAGCTGACTTCACCACCCAGGCACCCCTCCATTACTTTTTAAAGGAGAGGAATACTTCCTTTTAAATTACACTAACCTCATTTTTGTATATAATGTTAATGGACTGATTTTTGATTTGCAGTTTTCAGAAGCGAATTGCTGATTGTCGATTTTGGCCTGTAGAGATCACAAGAGTTCCTCTGGCTACTGCACCCAAAGGGAAAGCTGCAAAATTTGATAAGGTTAATTTGTTTGCTTAATAAGAAATGTCTGGTTAGACCCAACCTTTTTTTTTTTATTTTTTTTAAAGATTTTATTTATTTATTTGACAGAGAGAGACACAGCAAGAGAGGGAACACAAGCAGGGGTAGCAGGAGAGGGAGAAGCAGGCTTCCTGCAGAGCAGGGAGCCCGATGTGGCGCTCAATCCCAGGACCCTGGGATCGTGACCTGAGCCAAAGGAAGACGCTTAACGACCGAGCTACCCAGGCGTCCCTAGACCCAACCTTTTATTCTGCTTCTAATTCTGATACCATCGGAGTGTGTGAACTGATGTGGCTGCTCTCTAGAGTGACCAACTTAACCTGATTTGCCAAGTAGTTTTCTGGTGTTAGCACTGAAAATCTCACCTCCCAGGAAACTCTCCTGTCCCTGACAAATCAGGATAACTGGTCACCCTAGCTCCCCATTGTCCACTAAAAATCATTTAGACTTTATTCCCAGATATCCTATTTCCCTTTAGCTCTTTATTATAGTTTTACCGTCATAAAACCACACAAAATAGCCATCTTTATAGGACACAGTAGTTAAATATTGGCGATATGGTTCAACCTAATGCATTTTCCTGAATTTCTTTTAGACATCCTACTTAGAATGTTTTAGCCTGCTAATTAGAGTAATAGAATTCATTGATGTACATTATTCTGAAAAGATCTAGTTTTGTGAGCTTAGAACATGTTCTCTATTATTTTATTTGTGCATGTCTGGTCTTTTCTGCTTGTTCATAAATTCGTTGAGGGTAGGAATCCTGTCATAGACTGCTTTGTATCCTCCACAGCACCTAGCATGATTCATGGTATACCACAGATACTTAACAAGTACCTAAATTATTTTATTGACTTTTAAAATAGAGTCTTTTGCATAATAAAAATACTACTACTAGTAATCACTTCTCCCTTTGTAATATATAATGTACATTGGCTAACTTTCCTTAACAACACAATATTATTACATGAACATAGGACTTTCTAATCTAATTTCTAATTATTATATGTAAAATAAAAAGATTATTTTTAATCTTGTGGGGATTAAATGTATTTTCTTTTGCTAAATTGATTTTTCCCTATTAAAGTTTTCTATGGCAGACCATACATCCATTAAAAATTATGTTCTTATATTAATTAACATGTTACTCATCTTTGTAACGGGAGTTCAGATGAAATTAGAGATGGCAAATACATGATGGGAGACTATCATTCATTCTTGTCATCCATGGCAGATATTACTGATTAATCAAAACATTCTTTCTTTCTGAACTCAGGTAAGGATACAGAATCTTTCTCAATATAGTACTCTGAAACAAATCCACCAATTTATTAAAATTTAGGCATAAGTTAAACTCTATTTGTCATCACTGGTCTGGAGGATTTGTAAGGTCCCTTTCATTCATAAAAATCTGTAAATTAAAGCTAAGAGTCACAGCTTCTGATTCCTTTCCATTGTTTTTTTGTTTTGTTTTTTGTTTTACAAAACTTCACTTTTTCCTTAGATCTACATGGTGAAATTGACTTTTTGGTTGAATACATATATTATCAATTAATTTGAGTGTGTGTTGATCTAACTACTGTCTTTACTATTCATTAACACTGTTTATATGCATTATTTAAGTGATCATGGTATTATTAAACCCATTTTGAATATAAAGAAATGTAGATCCAAAATATCTATGTAACTGACCCAAAGCCAAAGTTAAGTAGCATAGCTAGTTCCTAAAGCCAGGTCTTTGAATGACTAAGTCAGAGCTCCGTACCTTATGCTACATTGCTCTATAGCACTAACAGCTCTCTGGTTTTAATCCTTTAGGCTGATGATGAAAGTCAGCTTTCATTTCATGGTGTGGCTTATGTTAATATGGTCCCATTGCTGTATCCAGGTGTGAAGAGAATTCGGGGAGCTTTTCATGTTTATCCTTACCTAGACAGGACAGTCTATGAAAAGGTAAGAAAAAATTATATAGAAGGTATTATCCTAATTTATTCTTTATGTATGTGTTTATTTACATCTTTAGCATATACATCTTTGCAATTGAAATTTGGAACCAGTTGGTATACTAGGATAGTTAAATATAGCACCTTGCAGTCATTCTGTCATTGAACCTTAAAAACTTGAGGATAATGAAAAGTAAAAAACTGGAAACAACCTAAACCTCCATCAACAGGTGAACAGAAAAACAAATTTTGTTGTATATCTATGTAATGAAATACTACTCAGTAGTAAAAAAAGAATGAACTATTGATACATGCAACATGTATGAATCTCAAATGCATTATGCTAAATGAAAGAAGCCAGATAAAAGAGAGTACATAATGTATGATTCCATTAAATAGAATTCTAGGAAAATAGTCTGTAGTGACATAAAGCAGACCAGTGGCTGCTTGTGAACAGGAATAGAGCAAAGGATGGATTATAAAAGAATGTGAGGAAAGTATTAGGGCTGAGGGAAATGTTGGTTATCTTGACTGTGGTAATGGTTTCACATGTGTATACATGTGTCAAAATTAATCAAATTGTATACTTTAAATATGTAGTTTATTATATTTCAATTTTACTCAATAAAGTCAGATACACAATCTTTAGGAAATGAAAGAAGTCTATTGTGTTAAGTATGTAAAAACTTAAATCCATGAGCTGATTAATGAGCTACAATATGGCTCTTTCCATTTTCAGGTGTTAAAATGTTAAAATCATCTATCTTTTTACCTATCTATATGTCTACATATAAATAGAGAAATATATATATTTCCCCCAAGCAAAAAGTCAGTTTTACCATGTTGTTTCTTAGGAGAAAGTGAGTCTATAAAACATAACAATAATAAAAAAAATTACTCTTTCATCATTATTAAGACAGCTATTTTTCAATAATAGAGTCATGAAAGACCTATCATCTATTTACAAACCAACTGAGTAGTAAGTTCTTTCTATATAAGTATCCTTTAATAAAAAATCACACTTATAAGGATGTATCTTAAGGAAATAATTTGATAGGATCAAAAACTCCATATTCATAAAAACTTTTTGGGATCTATAATAGTAAAAACTAAAAACAAGTTTAAATGTCTAATAATAAAGGTTTAGTATATTATTATAAATAAAAATGATAAATTTGTGTCCATTAAATTGTTAATGTTTTATAGATAGTTAAATGGACAAAAAGAATGCCAAAATGTTACATAGTATAGATCAAAATAAATTCCAAAAGAGTTTATTAAAATAGTTAAATGTGAAGCATATAAAAGTTGAAGTGGCTATTAATTAAAAGATACAAATTCCGGGAAGGCTTCCTAGGCTTGAAAGCAATGAAAAATATAAAAGATTTAGATTACCAAAAAGTGAATAGCTTCTATATGTAGAAGGAGCCATCATAAATAAAATTACAATGTAACCGAAAAACTGGGGGGAATATTTGGATACATATCTGAAAGATGACTATTATTCCTAAAACATAAAGCACTTTATCAAACTAATAAGAAAAACACACCAATTTTTTTTAAAGGGCAAAGTACATGAAATAGATCAAAAAGAAGAAATGCCAATGGCGAATAAATAAAAGAAGAAATATTTGGCCTTATCTATAATCAAAAAATTGCAAATTAAAATAATAAAATATCATTTTACCTGTAAAATTAGACAATTCTTTAAAATATGATAATGGGGGTGCCTGGGTGGCTCAGTCCTTAAGCATCTGCCTTCGGCTCAGGTCACGATCCCGGGGTCCTGGGATTGAGCCACGCATCGGGCTCCCTGCTCAGAGGGGAGCCTGCTTCTCCCTCTCCCACTCCCACTCCACCCACTTGTGTTCCCTCTCTCGCTGTGTCTCTCTCTGTCAAATAAATAAATAAAACCTTTAAAAAATATATGATAATGCCCACTGGTGGCAAAGGTGTAGTAAAACAACAGCTCTCATTCACTGCTAGAAGTGTAAATTAGTACAAACTGCAAAAAAAAAAAAAAATTGTCAGTATGTATTAAGAAGCTTAGAATACTTAAATCTTTTCCCATAGTATTCCTACTTCTAGGAATCTATTTCAAGGGAAAAGGTAGAATTGTATCCAGATTTTACTACATGAAGATATTCTTAGGAACCCGAGGGAAACAGTATATCATAATTGAAAGGTTATAGGCCTTGATGTCAGTCAGCCTCTAGTTTGAATTCTGGAACTGCCATTCACTAGCTGGGTGACTTCAGGCAAGTGACTAAGTTTCTCTCAACTTCAGTTTGCTTGTCAGTAAAATTAAGACAATGCTCATTTCCTAGAGTTGTTTTACATATTAAATGAGGTAAGATATGTAAAGCACTAGGGGTATAGTTGACACACAGACATCTTTATCTATTACTTTTAGTATATCCATATGGTTGGAGAATATTGTGCATATATTAAAAATTATCCTTATGAAAAATTTAAAAACATGAGAGGATGTATGTGATAGTCTATTAAATAAAAAATCAGGATATAAAATTATATTCAATGTGATCACAACTTTTTAAAAATATATAATCATAATTTAAAATATATATGGAAAATATTAGAGAGGAAATCTTTTTGTCTATGTCTGAGTGAGGAACTTGTCAAATTTTCTATCCACTCACCCCCAAAAGCAACTATAAAGCTGGACAAATTGACAAAAAATCATTTCAGCACTCTGGAAATTGAGCAAAGGCATCAACAAAATGAGAAGTATTAATGCATGAAAAACTATGAAGTTTGTGGAATTCTTGCTTAGGGGTGCTTCTAAAACTTACCTAAGCTCTTCCCTATTCCACTCCTTTGGCTTAATCAGTGCAGTGATTCTGCTGCCATAGAAGCTTCACACAATTTGGAGCAGTGGGTTGAGGACCTATGCCCAGTGATGTTGTTGGTTGAAATGGATATCTTGTGGAGAGCAACCAACATAATTGTAATCAGAGTCCCAGGAGAGAAGAAAGAGAGTAAGAGACAGAAATGATACATGAAGAAATAATGTCTGGAAATGACCCATTTTTTTTATTAACATACAATGTATTATTTTTTTCTGGGGTACAGGTCTGTGATTCATCAGTCTTACACAATTCACAGCACTCACCATAGCACATACCCTCTCTAGTGTCCATCACCCAGCCACCCTATCCCTCCCACCCCCCACCACTCCAGCAACCCTCAGTTTGCTTCCTGAGATTAAGAGTCTCTGATGGTTTGTCTCCCTCTCTGGTTTCGTCTTGTTTCATTTTCCCCTCCCTTCCCTTATGATCCTCTGTCTTGTTTCTCAAATTCCTCATATCAGTGAGATCATATGATAATTGTCTTTCTCTGATTGACTTATTTCACTTAGCATAATACCCTCTAGTTCCATCCACGTCATTGCAAATGGCAAGATTTCTTTTTTTTTTTGATGGTGCATAATATTCCATTGTATATATATATATATATATACCACATCTTCTTTATCCATTCATCTGTTAATGGACATCTAGGCTCTTTCCATAGTTTGGCTATTGTGGACAGTGCTGCCATAAACATTGGGGTGCAGGTGCCCCTTCAGATCACTACATTTGTATGTTTGGGGTAAATACCCAGTAGCACAATTGCTTGGTCATAGGGTAGGTCTATTTTCAACTTTGTGAGGAACCTCCATACTGTTTTCCCGAGTGGCTGCACCAGCTTGCATTCCCACCAAGAGTGTAGGAGGGTTCCCCTTTCTCCGCATCCTTGTCAAAATCTGTTGTTTCCTGACTTGTTAATTTTAGCCATTCTGATGGGTGTGAGGTGGTATCTCAGTGAGGTTTTGATTCGTATTTCCCTGATGCTGAGTGATGTTGAGCACTTTTTCATGTGTCTGTTGGCCATTTGGATGTCTTCTTTGCAGAAATGTCTGTTCATGTCTTCTGCCCATTTCTTGATTGGATTGTTGGTTCTCTGGGTGTTGAGTTTGATAACTTCTTTATAGATTTTGGATACTAGCCCTTTATCTGATATGTCATTTGCAAATATCTTCTCCCATTCTGTCGGTTGTCTCTTGGTTTTGTTGACTGTTTCCTTTGCTGTGCAAAAGCTTTTTATCTTGATGAAGTCCCAATAGTTCATTTTTGCCCTTGCTTCCCTTGCCTTTGGCAATGTTTCTAGGAAGAAGTTGCTGTGGCTGAGGTCGAAGAGGTTGCTGCCTGTGTTCTCCTTTAGGATTTTGATGGATTCCTGTCTCACATTTAGGTCTTTCATCCATTTTCTGTCTATTTTTTTTGTGTGCTGTAAGGAAATGGTCCAATTTCATTCTTCTGCATGTGGCTGTCCAATTTTCCCACCACCATTTGTTGAAGAGACTGTCTTTTTTCCATTGGATGTTCTTTCCTGCTTTGTCAAAGATTAGTTGACCATAGAGTTGAGGGTCCATTTCTGGGCTCTCTATTCTGTTCCATTGATCTATGTGTCTGTTTTTGTGCCAGTACCATACTGTCTTGATGATGACAGCTTTGTAATAGAGCTGGAAGTCCGGAATTGTGATGCCACCAGCTTTGCTTTTCTTTTTCAACATTCCTCTGGCTATTTGGGGTCTTTTCTGGTTCCACACAAATTTGAGGATTATTTGTTCCCTTTCTTTGAAAAAAGTTGATGGTATTTTGATAGGGATTGCATTAAATGTGTAGATTGCTCTGGGTAGCATTGACATTTTCACAATATTTGTTCTTCCAATCCATGAGCATGGAACGTTTTTCCATTTCTTTGTGTCTTCCTCAATTTCTTTCATGATATTCTATAGTTTTCTGAGTACAGATTCTTTGTCTCTTTGGTGAGATGTATTCCTAGGTATCTTATGGTGTTGGGTGCAATTGTAAATGGGATTGACTCCTTAATTTCTCTTTCTTCTGTCTTGTTGTTAGTGTATAGGAATGCCATTGATTTCTGTGCATTGATTTTATATCCTGTCACTTTACTGAATTCCTGGATGAGTTCTAGCAGTTTTGGGGT